TAATCATTGGGAATTGAAAGGTGTACCTGTGAGGATTGAATTAGGTCCCAAAGATCTGGAAAAAAATCAAGTGACATTTGTACGTAGAGACAACTATCAGAAAGTGACAGCAAGTAGAGCGGAAGCAGTAGTTTTTTTACGCAATTTACTTACTGAGATACAATCTAGTATGCTTAAAAAGTACGTGCATATTATTATTTATTCTTTTATTATTATAATAGATGGTGCAAAATTTAAATGTGAAATTAATAATAATACGAAATATAATAATATAAATAATTAATCAATTTTTATAGAGCAAGAAAAAATTTAGAAGATCATATTAAAAAAGTAGAAGAATGGGAACAGTTTTCTGTGGAATTAAATAAAAAAAATTTATTACTATCACCATTTTGTGGAGAACCATTATGTGAGGATAACATTAAAACAGACAGCGCGAGGTAAATTTATATTATTTTTATATAAATATTATATATACATAGAGATACAATATTTGGAATAGAACATTTTGCGAGGAAGATTAATACTATTTTTATAAAATTACAGAGACGATGCCGGTGAAGAAGCAGGAGCATTATCAATGGGTGCAAAAAGTCTGTGTATACCTTTCGAACAGCCACAGACTTCTATACTATTAGATAATTTGAAATGTATTCATCCAAGTTGTCAAAACAAACCCAAATTTTACACTCTTTTCGGTCGTAGCTATTAAACTAAGATAGCTATATTTATCAATTTGTATGCTGAAATATCTTTACAGTTTGTTCTTTAAACATTGATCTTATAAACAAATATTTTCCATAAAACTATGTTTTATTACATGCAGTATTTATATTTTCGCTTTGTTTAGACTTGACAAAAATCTGTTCTGATTTTATTACGGCATTATAACGTATACGTAACTTTTGTACGTAATGTGATCCTAACATTAAAAGATTGTATTTTCTGATATTTATTTATTGCTAACTAAGATAGTGTTTCTTTTTACTATCAACACTTAAATCTTCATTTTTTTTATGTATTATGTTGAATTCGGATGTAATGTCAAATATCCATGAAGATACTAATAATGGTTTAGTCAATTCTTATTTTGATTGATAAAAGGTAAAATATGCTGTCTGAAAAAGATTGGTTTTCAAACATTTCTCACAGAAAGTTTATTGAAAAACAAGAAGAGCCATCAAACAAATTGTTTTGACGTCCAATCAACATTTGATATCAATTAAAATAATAATCAAGATATATTTCTGATGATCAATTATGGCAATGGTACGTCTGTTTGCATTTGTATTAATAAATTTGAAAAACAAATAATGAGCAATTGTTTTTTTTATAAACTACATAAATACACATGCCCATTACCTATACATGTATTTCAGATTATCATACTAACGACATCTTTATACAAGATATTTTAATCTGTTCGCCTTCCTGTAATGCCGATAATGTCGATAAAAATCTTTTGAAAACTATTGGATGGATTTATAGGTGTTGGAACAATTAATACGCAAAATAATTTTAATAACAGCATATAAATATAATAAGATTTTTAACATATTTATTTTACATAACTTTTAAATTATACGTTTTATAAAATATTGTTATATGTATATATATATATATTATGTATATATATATATATATATATATATATATATATATATATATATATATATATATATATATATATATATATAATATATGTGTAAAAGATGCATAGTATAATTCATTGTTTTTCTAATATATCAATATCATATATAGAATATATGTATATAGTAACATATATAAAGTATGTGTATAAAGGAGAATGTTTTCTTTAGGGAATTTTAAAAATTCATTTTAGAACTAAGTACAACAAGCTATTTCAAATCATAGTTTGAGAGATTTATTTTCTTGAAACATTTGACGACACGTCGTGCGTTTTCCCCAGTGCGTTACGGCGCGACAGGTTGTTGTAAGTTCTTTGAAAGCGTTTGTACGTATTATCATGTAACCCCAGAGGTTTCTTCGAGTTGAAAGATGTTAAAGGAATGTTTAGTGTTGACATCGATCTTACACAGAGGTACATTTATATCTCCGTATTCTGAGCGAAGCGAGCAAAAGTATGATTTATCTATATCGAAAAATTTGTGTTAAATAAAGTAAAAACATCGAGTTTGGTTATTAACGATTGTCAGTCAAGAAGATTATTTGAGAGCAATAATTAAGTAACAGAGATTAAGAGATTTTAATTGCGTTCGGTTATGAATATTTTGTCGTTGACATGTTATATAAAATAAAGTATTCGAAAGTTTATGATATAAATTGTCGTCATAAAAGATTTATCGTTTCATATAGGATTAATGTAATTTTTCGTTTCGAAAATGTTTTCATGTAGACGTTTTGTAAATATACATATAATAAAATAATAATAAATATACATTTAATAATAAAATAATAATAAATATACATTTAATAATAAAATAATAATAAATATACATTTATATTATGTATTATTTATTTATGTTATAGCTGTTTTAAATAAAATATTTTCAAAACAATTCTTTCTTCAAAATAATCTTAACTTCTCTAATTTGTTAGGTTAACCGTGAAAGATATAAGAAACTTAACTTCTATATAAAAGGAAGTTAGTTAATTTGTCTCGTTAGATTAACAAATCCGTCAAGCAAGCATCGTAGATTTAACGGAGACATAAATTTAACATCATTTTAACGTCGCACTTGCTTCTAATAACTTGGATGTAATTATGACCTGGTGTCAAATTTCGTGAACGGAGAAGGTTGACTAGTATAGAAATTAATGGTGATATCGTATATTCCTAAGAAACTAATGAGCGAAACGAAATGTACAAATCATAAGGGATAATTCGAAATAATATATTCTTTGACTTTATTATTCTAATTAGATCTTTCATTGCGAACATTGTCGTTGACATGTTACGTAAAATATAAAGTACTCAAAAGGTTATAGTTGCGCGCGCGCGACTATGGCGACGATGGTCTCTTCGAAAGCTTTTTAAACTATTTAATTATGTCTGAAATGAAACTGAATGCTATAGATATTTTCTGGTAACTTAAATGTGTTTAACATTGTGTCAGTGAAAGGGGAGAGACAATCTTTAAATACTCTTTCCTTTGCAGGTGACGTTTAATATAAACTCTTGAAGCAACCATCCAAAGTATTGAGGTAAGATACTGAAGCAATTTGCCAATAATTTTTATCACGACCCTGTTTTGACACTAAGTGCTACAAATTTCTCACGTTCTTCTTCTGTAGGGATTACATATATATATGATGTCCTGAATATATATATATATATATATATATATGTTATCAGTCTTATAGATATGCTCTAGATTAGTGTTAAATATATTTATTTTTTCTCAAAGTCTTGAACGAAAATTTCTGTCTTTAAGTACTTGTCTAATTACGCTATATGCAATTATTCTATATATAATAATTATTATTGATTTTGCAATATACATGGTTGTTCGTTCATATTTTGATGATAAGGTAAAGGACGTAGGGTGAAAAATAATAATGTAAGTATATAATTTCACGAGAAAGATCATTAATCGTAGGAGAGATGTTGTTGAAGCAACGTGCGACGTAATAACGCGCCTTTTTTTACTTGACCTTTTCTGTTAATTTTATCCGAAACTTGTGAGTTTCGTAATGATAGTTCTTACTAGCTTTAAAAGAAATGTTAAGTTTACGAAAAACAGGGAATAGTAGACCTCCGTCTGACTATACGTAACTGTGCTAACAGTTAATATGAAATTGCACATTGTATGTAACTTTCAAAGTAGTATGCTTCAAACTATTCTTTGAAATATATTTCACTTTAAATCTGAAATTCTATTAGTTAGATAGCTTATCGTGAAACAATTAGTGTGATTACAATTAGTATAATTATAATCAGTGTGATTATAATTAGCGAATTGAAAGATTGCATAATTACCGATTAACGTAGGATCTTCGAAAATGTTTTTACATTAATACGATCATTATTAATTTATCATTACCTCAATCGTCCAATAATTATTTCGTTCTCTGAGCATTTCCAACTCAAGTTAACCAACTTAATTCTATCAGTGGCTACTAGCGGCTAATATTGCCTATTACTAAACTGCCCGTTGTTGAAGAGAAGAACACGTATGTGTCGCTTAAGAGCATTTAAATTGAACGAATCCGATAAAATGATTAAGAATGTAAAAAAATTAGGATTACATTAGTTGCAATATTTTTAGAGAAATGTATCAATATTGGAAGAAATGGTTTCTTTTGATCATTTTCTTTCTGCACGTTAATCAATTTTTGACAAAGGATATTCTCTTGGTGATACGATTCTGCAAATTGAATCGAGTTAGAAGAAAATAGAACATAATATTGGAAGGACGATGGAAGAAAGAACAGAAAGTAGTATCAAAAAGATAGGGGTAAAGGAAAATCAGCGCATGATGGCGTTAAGAGTAATGGAAGACAATGTCCTCCCGCATAGAAGCTTCTCTGTTGACTGAAGTGACTTGAGTCAACGTCGCACTCACCTACGGTTTGCCGGCACACGTTTTGCTCTGCGCGCTGAGATGGAAGGGTGGTGGAGAAGATGAAGCAGAAAGGAGGAGATAGGTTGAGAGAAAGAGAGAGAGAAAGAGAGAGAGAGAGAGAGAGAGAGAGACATGGGTAGCGCGAGTAGTGGCGAAGGGTTCAAGTATAAGGATACCGAGGCATGCGCCGTCCTATCATATTGATCTCGCCATAGTAACGATTCTCTCTTCTCCGGCGATGTTGGCATGCACTATAGCAAAAGGAGGGTGGGAGAGGGTAGTATGTAGGCGAAGGGAGAGAACGAGGGAGTCGTACGGCATGGATATACCATCACCCCGTCGTACCGATGTGCTACGACGAGATGTGGGGTGAACGAGAGAGAGAAAGCTTGAAGAACAGAGAGGGGGATGCTAGATGGAAGAGAGAAAGGGGTTAACGAGAGGGTATGGGAGAGAGAGGGAAAGAAAGTGATGAACGAAGGAGTGGAGGTACATCGGCGGTGGTGGAGGTGGTGATGGTGGTGATGGCGGTGGTGGTGGAGTCTCGTAGCTGTACAGAGCGCTAGCGCCAAAGAGAACTGCGGTGGCGATAGCGCGCGGCGCTGCAGCCAAATGAAAATCAGTCCAGCGTTGGCCGTCGGCGAGGACGTATCTGGCATTGATGTCAGTATTTTGAAGATAGAGAAAGAGATAGAGAGAAAGACTCGACGACATTCGCAAGATCGAGGGGAATCGAAGGGACTGAGAAAATTGTGGTAGGGCCGAGAAGTAGCTAAAGAGGGAGAAAGAAAGACAAGGAGGACGAGAACGAAGACGAGAACGTGGTAGATAGGGTGACGAGAGGGTAACGATGAAAGGTAGCCAAGTCGAGACGATGGTGTCCGGGCGCTGCTGCCGCCGTCGCCACTGCCACTGCTGACGATCATGAACGTTCCGGAGTTCGGTGAAAACAGGATACATTGTATCTAGGTAGCCGGCTTTGTTCGATCGGATGATCGAGAAGTTTTACGAAAGAAAGACTCCTCGTCGAGTCCAATTGCGAGAGTAACAATTCTTCTTTCTGGTTTCATACGATTCTCCTTTAGCACTCAACATTTGTTTGCGGTAAAAATCGGTTACAGTGAAGAGGCTAATAGAAGGAAGGTTGAGAATAAGAGAGAAATAGAGATATGTCCTCGATGCAGCACGATGCAGCACGAGGGAAGCGCTTCGGTGGTTCTCTGGCTTAGTGCGTGCGCGGCGGCATACGAGAAGAAGGGACACGTTGCTCTTGCAGCTGGTGCACGTCGTCGGTGGTGGACACGATCACGTGCTCCCGATAGAAGAACAAGAAGAACGATGTCAGTGGCGTGCTCGAGATATCTACGATCGTTCGGTGGACCCTGAGACTAAAGTGGAGCAGAAAGAAGAGTCGGAACAGGAGGAAGAGGAAGAGGAAGAGGAAGAAGGAGCAGGTGGATCGCTTCTTTCCAACGTTGTCGAGAGAGTCCAAGCAGTCCGCTTCTATTCGGCGCGCCTGCAGCCACGTGCGGAGACAACCGGACGAGGAGAAGGAGGTGGAGGAAGACGAGCCGGAGGAGAAGAGGCAGCGAGCAACCGGTAGTGGTGCTTGTGCTGGTGCTTGTGGTCGAGAAAGAAGCGAGATTCTCGGTTTCTATCTTTGCAAACATGAGACATTGGACACTCATGGCGGCGATAGCCCTGGCTGCATTGGGTAAGTCTTCTTTTACACTCTTATTTTTTTCTTTTTTTTCTTCTTATTTTTTTATGACCCCACGATGATATCGAAACGACAAACTCTCTACGACTCGTCAACTTTCGATACTCAAGCGAGGCTCTCGTCCTATCCGACGTCCGACGTATTTCTTTTTTTTTTCTTCTCTTTTACATCGTGAAACGACAGCTTCCGAGCGGCTTTCATCGTGTTTCCGATTCAAAGGCTTTTCCTAGTTTCTCAACGATCAATCGACTTCTGTTTCTCTCTACCCCGTTAAAGCTCTCCGAAGTCGCGTCAAATGCAATGTGATTCTCTACCTGAGAAGTATCAACTTCTGACAAATGTTTTGGCGCGTTTGGTTAGTCGCGTCGAATGTCGTACATATATATCTACCAGGTAGTAGTACGTATCAACAATCTCACAGACGTTTTAATTTCAATACCCATGGATACAGGCTCATGGGTTTATAGAGTACGCATTTGGCTTTAGTAAGCGACCCGATTTTAGAATACCTTATGATATTTCTCCTTTAATACCAACCATTTTTTCGACGTTCTCTATCATGTTCACCTAGTATAAAACCTTCAAATAGCCTGAATTTCCTGTTCGACATATATTTATTTATTTTTTTTTACCCCTTTTCTGTCATTATTAATCCACGATTTTCCCGACATATACGTATCTACTTGATCGCAATATTATATCTGAATTCATCTGGAATACGTGCCATTTTTATCATCAAAAAAATGTAATGTATCTGACATTTGATGTAGTCGTAGATAGATCCGTTAATCGTGAAAAAATTGTCGAAGATAGGCGATGTTTTAAGATTGACGTATACTTTATCGTATTCCGATTTAGGAGCTTTATCCGTTACGATTTCTCGTCGCAAAAATATTCTAGGGTGAGTATCGATGGTGACATCGAAAGTATAAAGACAGCCAGTCTGTTTCGGTATTGACGTCACGCATCGTGTTTTCGATAAAGGAAAGTATTTCATGTCTCATCACCACGTTGATTCCAGTCAGTGGACCAAAGTGGGACGATAATGCGATCTGCGCAAAATCGGCGCTACGTAAATATTTCCACGGTCTACGGGGGTATTTTTGTTGAATTTAATCAGTCTCGATCGTTCGTCCTTACACGAGATCGTATTTCTTCGAGCTGCTATTTTGTGTAGCTTTAAAACCATCCTCGAGATAGCGCATTAAAATGCATGTGAAGATCCGTTAAAGAGGCCAGTAAATCGTTATTCAATATTCATAGGTTCGAAATCGGCGCTCGTGAATGTTCAAAATTTATTGGTTAAATGAGAAAGCGAAAAAAAGTGAAATCTTTAAAAATTAGTTTCGTTTATCGTTCAATATAAAATTTATTTGACATTGACAAACATATAGATAATAATTTTAATTTAATTTTAAAATGCTACTTTCTTCACGTGTAACAACATAGCCTCGCTAAGTCTTGTTTTTTCATCGTTCAAAGACTCATTGTTAGCTTTGTTTAACCCCACAGCAACGAGTTTTCCGATAAATCGAAGGTAAAAAGTGTTATTGCTAGGATCTTACAGAGTAAAAGAACGCTGTTTCGAGTAGCTCGAGTAAATTCCTTCGACAAAATCATAGTTCAAAGGTTTCTCATGTGTTTCTATCTTACGTATAATAATGATTAGAAATGTATTCATTTCTAAGATTTCTATTTTTCTTTTTATCTTTGAAAAATTAATAAAAAATAAAAAGTATATTTAGGTAGACAAGTGTGCACGTGATCGTTCATTTCCTTTCAGTTAACGTAATTGTAAACTATTGAGAATATTATCTGGGGTAGAAAGTATTGTGGTGCAACGAAGTTTAGAGATACGGATCGTATTATGTTCATTGAAAAAAAACTGTCTCTTCTGGTTGTCGAATAAAATTTAAGTAGGATCAATGAAGCTTATAGAAATAAAAATATTAATTGTCGAAGGGATAAGATCAGGAGTACAATATTAAACGTGTATTCTCGATAAACTTAACTCTTATGATTCTGTTTGGATATTCATTCGTTTGACCTAATTTCTTTATATTATGACAACGACGATTAAATATCTCGTTAACGTTGAAAGCCATTTACGAATGTGGGCTTCTCCGTTATAACGTAGTCGGTACAAAAATGGTAATTATAGGATAAGTATTAATAGAAGTAGATAAGATGTTTATGTTAACGTGGGAACGTGTGACATAGAGCGCATCATTCGACCGGTCGTTCCATCTTCGACCTTTATTTCCTTAACGATTTACACGCTTGATACGAGCGTTTGAATTTTATACACAAACGTTTCTAACGTCGTCTTTCGATCGTACTCGATGCACATTTTATCACCGTTAGAAATATTGCTATCGATTAAGAATCGACGTTCATCGTATTCCCGTTGCATCGTTTTGCGTAAACGTCATCCTCGCGTCAATTTCTCGTTTACATGTGAAGCTACACACGCATGCACACGCACGCACACAGGCACGTATATACACGCACGCACGCACGCACGTATATACACGCATGCATGCATACATACATACATACATACATACATACATACATACATACATACATACATACATACATACATACATACATACATACATACATACATACATACATACATACATACATACATACATACATACATACATACATACATACATACATACATACATACATACATACATACATACATACATACATACATACATACATACATACATACATACATACATACATACATACATACATACATACATACATACATACATACATACATACATACATACATACATACATACATACATACATACATACATACATACATACATACATACATACATACATACATACATACATACATACATACATACATACATACATACATACATACATACATACATACATACATACATACATACATACATACATACATACATACATACATACATACATACGCAACGTACACAAATATATTTACGATCGTGATATATGGATGTATGCAAAAGCGACGTATTGAACTTGTGGCCGATCGACCGGTTGAAAGGCAAAGGACACTGCACGAGAGTCATTCGACATACGAGCTACGTGTACGTAAATATACAATATATCTACATGTATACACGTGTATATGCACTATTATATAGCTACTTTACGTCCTCTTTCTTTTTTTTTTCTTTCTTCTATTTATTATTTTTCTTCCTTTGCCTTCACAAAAATCTTATTCGAAGAATGGATACATTCTTAAATATTTTATCGAAACGTCAAATTCTACGTATCGTGATAGCTTTCTAATTTAAAATGTCGATATTTTGGATAAGAAAGAGAGAGAGAGAGAGAGAGAGAGAGAGAGAGAGAGAGAGAGAGAGAGAAAGTGTAAAGTACTTTGAAAAAATCGAGGATGATCCTAGTACGGGACTGGGATGATGGCTTCTTTCTTACTCGTCATCTTCCGTTAAGGGTCATTAAAATTGCAAACGTTGTGTCGTTGCTGTTTCGTGACCGCGTAAGGCTCGTTTTTCTTTTCACAACTTCTTCTTTCTCTCTTCATTTCTCTCATTCTGCTTATCATGTTCTCTCTCTTTTTCTCTCTCTGTCTATCACTATTTCCCTCTCTACTACTCCCCCCTCTCTCTTTCCCTATCTCTATTTCCCTTTTTCTATTTATCTCCCTCTCTCTCTCTCTCTCTCTCTCTCTCTCTCTCTCTCTCTCTCTCTCTCTCTTTCTCTCTCTCTCTCTCTCTCTCTCTCTCTCATTCACTCACTCACTAGTGGTTATTGTCGGCGAAAATACCTCGCGGCAGCATATATTGGTTTCGGATTAACAATGTTCCAAACTATTTCCCCGAGCAGCCGACGTAACATAGCAACTTGCTATTGTGTCTTGCCACGAACTGTGACCTCACCCCTTGCTACTGTGTATGAGAGTCACTAGATCGTCGATGTGAATTGATAAGGTAAAGTTAAATTTCAAGTGAACTTTGAAAGATAGTGTGCAAATATTTTAATTTTCTAATAGGACGTTCAACAAATTTGCCAATATTTTTCCGAAAAGGGACAAACCGAAGATTTTCATCCGGTTCATAGAATTCATACAATCGAAGCTTTTGAGTAGTCCCTGAAGGTATTCTTGCGAATGGATCAATTGAATAGCGTTCGATGGATCGATTCAACTAAGGGATAAAAATTCCTTTCGTTTGTGAATACCGAGGGGATATGTATGGGTCGTTCGCGTGGAAGGAAAGTTCAATTTGTGGTACCGATCAACACCATAATAAATGTCATTCACCCAATTGCTTACTCATCGTAGCTAGGCAAGCGGTTGTAAAGTGCTATCCCAATATATGAAGTTAACCGACGTTAAGTGAAGATTGAATAATTTGCAGTGTGTTTTAATCGACTATTATTAATGAAAATTTGTGTAAACTAAAATCTTATTACCTATTACGGCAGTATGTTTATCAATTAATCGATCGATCTAAATGTTTTCTTTATTTTTTATTTAAATAGCAGATCTAATTTCGTAATTAATTTTTTCGATCACTTTTGTTAACAGTTTCTTCTATAATTATCTAAGGTACATTTCGTTAGTTTTTAAAGGGAAAATCTTAGCCCTTCTTGTTTCTTTTTTTACGATTAATCAATATTATATTTATTAACGAATATTTTTAAGTAAATATAAATAATTGATCAGAGCAAGTCAAAAGTTGGCTGTTAGTGTTGAAATCAGAAAAATTTCCAAAAGTAAGGAGAGGGTCAACTTGGCCGATTTGTTGATTAATAGAAGAAGCCTTTCATTTGAAACTGGTTGACTGGAAAGAACGTCTGACTTATAGGCGTCGGAAAGGCGCTACTGCTTCTGTATCTACGAAACATTTTCTTTAGATGTTATGATCATTCTTAAGTAATATTTTTTTTTTTAGGTTTCTTTTGAATATTTTTTTGTATTCTAAAATGAGTATATACCTATATATTAT